GCCACATCCTTGGTATCCTGCTCTGTCTTTCACAATGCACTAGTTGCTACTTCGCTTAAGCTTTCCAAATCTTGCATGACATTTTCTTGAGGTTGACCCTAACTTGGAACCATATACGAAGGGAATCCTGGGAAACAGTTCCCGCTTAGCTAAGTGGACACAGAACAAAGTCACCACAAGCACAATACCTAGTCTGGTAAATCTCAGTCTGTACCTCTGGCAGGGAAGAGCCGGACTATGCACTCTGTCTCCTTGGGACCCAGAACAGCAGCTTTCAACAGATGTTCATTGACTCAACAGAACACTCTCCCCACATCCCACTCAAACAAATGCTCAGGGTATGTTCTGGGATTTTGGGAAACAGCCCAGTGTTTTCCTGAAGAGTGCCATTTACATAAAAGTCAATGGAGCTATTGTTGTAGGTTTTCTGTTTTTCTGGAGACCATGAAGGGAAACTGTCCTGGGGTTTGAAAGTTGTCAGCTTACAGAGAAAGACACACATACACACACACGCACACGCATGCACACGCACGCACACGCACATACACACACACCAGACTCCAAGCAGATTCAAACCTCAGGGGGTTAAAGAACACAGCATCCAATATGCAAATGTGCTTGCAGCCAGGATACAGAGATGAGAACTCCAGGCTGACAGCAGGCAATTCACACTTCAGAAAAGTGGCAAAGTGCCTTAGGTGGTTAAAAAAAACCTGAATAAAAAATCCTCAATGTCATCAGAAGGTTCCAGAAGCTAAGGAAAGAAAAGTGCTCTTGCCTTTCTCTATATATACATTTCCCTTACACCTCAGGAGGTTCAGAACCTAGGTGCCAAAAAATAATTCACAGATAAATGGCTGTTCTGATGTATTGTGTTCCAGTGTTTTCATCAAATTAATCAGAGCGCAATTGCAAGCATAGCCAACCCCAAAAGCCCTCACAAATATACCTTTAGATACAGAAAGGGCTCCCCAAATCCTCTCCTCAACTTGTTCCTTATAATCTAAAATCCCTTTAGCAGAAACTGTTTGATGCCACCATGTTATCAATTAAGCATCTGCACTGTGACAGCTGTACTGTGCAAAGTTCTTTACATGTATTTTTTCTAATGCTCAAGACAAATCTTCATGATAAGCATGAGTGTCTCCAGTTTTGGATGAGGAACTAAGATTCAAGAAGGTGAAAATACTTGCCCAAAGGCATAGTTGGTCTGTGAAAGGCAAGATTTGAATTCAAGTAAGTCTAACTCCAAAGTATATTTACCCCTTATACAGCTCTGCTTACCATGAAAGAAAGGGCTTAGGGCACAAATGGCCCTGAGAGAGGACATGCATATAATTTATAAAATTACTGCCAGTTCCAAAATTCCCAGTCTTTGATCTATATTCATATGGAGAGTTAAAAAAAAAATTGTTTTTAATGTTTAGGAGACACAGAATCTGAAGCAGCTCCAGGCTCTGAGCTGTCAGCATAAAGCCCAATGTGGGGCTCAAACCCACAAACTGTGAGATCATGGCCTGAGCTGAAGTCCGATGCTTAAATGACTGAGCCACCTAGGCGCCCCATACATGGTGGATTTTTAACGTGCCTAGCTGGAATCCTTTCCATAGAATAGGTTTTAGTTGGGGGACTGGGAGTGGAGATGAAGGTCCTGGTGCCCAAGGAAGACCTGGAGAGGTAAAGTGTAGTCTTAGGCCCCTAAACTTTGCCTTTCTATGAGTCCTCTGCTTTTTCTCTGGGAAGTAAAAAGTTAAACCACACATTCAAATCTATAGCCAGTAGCCTGAGGGGTTCCTAAACACCAAATGTTGGGAATACTCTTAATGCTAGCCTTGGATAAGCACACAAACACCTAACTTAGGAAGGGCACTGGTATCCAGCAAAGTTGCCCAGGCCATTCCGCTGTGAGGCGGAAGGTCAATTCTGCCTGCCTGCCTACAAGCAACTCTGACTGCTCCGCTTTCCTGCTCTTCCCATAATGGTCTTTTCTGATTCTTCAACTCCCCTCCTCCCTTTCAAAGAATTGAACAGACATGAGGTGCCCATCAGTGAATAAAGCTCTCTCTCGTAACAACAACAACAACAGAAAGAAAAGAAAAAGAAAAAAGGAAAAGAAAGAAAAAAGTTCCCAACTACTGTGAATAAATTGAGACAAAGAAAATGTTCCCTTAATTGCACCTTTCCTTGGGCATATGCCACTCTCTTCTCTCACAGAGATCAAGCTGCTGAGTCATCTTGCTATCTTTGCTATTTGGTTGAGGGTGGAAACAGGAGATTTCACCTGTAATGACATGAGTATTGGCTTCTAGGAAGGGGCTAAAGTCAGACAAGGTTGGGACAAAAATCATTCCTAGTAAAGGGGATCTGTTAAGTGGCCTGTTAGTGCCATCTGCTGTCCAATTCTAGAAAGCAAACATGGGGAATTCTAATATTAGGGCCTGGAGGGATTTACTGACTCATCTAACATCTGTTGAGTGTGTCCTACTCGACAAGCAGTATGAAATAATTGAAGAGTGGATATAAAGCTGAATATTATAAAGCCCCAGCTTTCTAAGGGTTCACAGTCTCATCAAAGTGGAAGGTCCTTAGACAAGTTGCCAGTGTGTTTTGTGCATCATTGGGGTGTGTATAAAACGGAAAGGAAGCAAAGAAGAGGGAGTGATTATCTTTAAGTCGAAGAGGTAGGCCATAAGGATTCTGAAGGATGGCTAGGAATTCCCCAGGCAGAATAAAGGTAGAGGCAAGGCGCATTCCAGGCAGAGGAGTGTGGGCAAAGACCCTTAAGCACAAAATGGCATTCCATTGATGAACAACTTAGTTTATATTTTGTAGGCAATGAGGAGCCTTTGACTGATTTCAGGCAGGGCTGGCAATATGGTCAGATTGACATTTTACAAAGACAGTCTGGCAGCAAGGAAGGTGGAGAATGAATTAGGATTGAAGGCAGGGAGATCAACGAGTTCCAAGCTCGTCACCAACAGTCCAGATGACAAATGGTAGCGTTAAATTAAGGCAGAGATCCTGAAAAAGGAGAAAGGATGATTTTGAGAAATGTTTAGAAAAGAAAACCAACGGTATTTGATGTTTCATTGTTCCAGAGAGAGAGTGGGGGAGAGAGAGATTGTTTGGTTTGGGTGACAGCGGAATAGGGAGTAGAATGTAAAATAATGATTTGCTTGGGACAAGATGAATTTGAAGTGCTATAGATTACTCACAAGGTAAATGAACAGATGGAACTGTGTTCAGTGATCTGATCACCTCACCCCACCTCTTCATTTCCCAAGGTGAAAATTTCCTATTGGAGAAAGATTTCACTTCCACTATAGGTACCTCTGCAGGCCATCTCCTCCACATGGGTAAATCTGCCTGTACATCTGATATTCAAAGCATTTTATCCTCTTTCAGTCAGAAAAAGCATGGAAAAGCATGGCTGGCTTTGCAGTGAGAAAGACCCAACTCCCTAATTCAACAGCTGTATTACTTTAGCAAAATGCTTCCTTAGGCCTCACTTTCCTTATCCGTAAAATGAGGGTAACCTCTATTTTACATGGTTAATGCAGAGTTTAAAATAATGTATACATAAGATCGGAAATATCAGAAGTACTGAATATATATGAGTTATTTTTATCTACTGTCCTAAAAGGTCATCAGAAAGCTTCAGTGTTATGTTCTAATAGCATGCTCTTAGCTTCTATTGCTAGCTGAATCAAGAAATGGCTTTTCATATTTCTAGCAAAACTGCTGGTGAACACAGTTCACTACACCATCTGTATTCCTATGTATAAAGTACCACAAGATAAATTCCTTTCAATATAGGTACTAGGAAGAAATTTCACTCTTTTGAATAATGGTTTCCTTTTTTGCGTTATTTCTCGGACAAGTTTTGAGCTAAACTGGGTGCTTGCAGTAAATCTACTGGCCTTGTTAGCTAGTATATTTGTTTGTTTCTATTATGAAGGTAAGAGGTCCATTTTTTGGAGTTACTGCTTGCCAGGCATTGTGCCAAGTGCATTACTTTCATCATTTCATTTTATCTTCACAACAACCCTCTGAGCCTTTAGCATGATTTTTCAAGAGGGGGAAAAAAAAAAAAAGGAAGATGTGTCTGGGTAGACTAAAAAGTAGGTCTGCCTGACTCCCAACAACATTGCTCCTAACTTTGACTCTACATTTGGTTATACGATTGCTGTTTAGTAAAACTTTAGTTTGCAAGCATAATTCGTTCCAGAAATATGCTTATAACCCAAAGCACTTGCATATCAAAGCAAATTTCAAGAACCATTGGCTCAGTTGTGATCATGTGACATTTGACGTCAGATACTACTTATATTGCAAAACATTGCTCATTTATCAAGTTAAAATTTATTAGAAATGTTTGCTCTTCTTGCAGAACACTCACAATCCAAGGTTTTATATACACACACACACATTTGCTTGCTTAAAGAAATAGAACAACAAATAACAAATACATAGAGCCCAAATCAGACCATAGCAAAGAACAAGGAAGTTATGTTTTAGGTGGTGGGACTCTCCTGTTATTTTTTTTCTTTATTTCTGCTATAATTGCCACGATATTATTCATTAAATAGATGAAACAATTAGAAAACAAAATTTCTTCTGGAAAGCAGGCAGGGTTTAAAGGGCAAAAACAAAGTGAAACTGAGGCCAAGAAAGGGGAAGTATGGCGCTCTTGCCGCTGGGCCCTAAACGGGAACTCTGGGATTCCGAGGCCGCACCCCATCACCATCCGCGTGCGGGCCAGCAAGGCTCAGAGCCATTGAACCCTTCTCTCTCCCTGAGCACAGAGGAAAACGGAGGTCCTGAGGCGGGGGAAGGGGGGGAGGCCTGGCCTGCCCACGCCTCACTGCCAGCCTGGAGGAGAGTGCGTCCACCTTTGACGGTGCACCGACGGGAGGTTATTCGGCTTCAGATCCCTACTGTTCCAACCTCAGTTCCTTAGCAAAGAATACTACACTGAGCCATTCTATAAGACTACTCACCCAAAGCCGAGGGAGGTAGGAGGCGCGCCTTGAACAGAAAGGGCGAGTACGTCGACCAATCCGGAAGGTTCGGTTGCGCTTAGAGCAACCAACAGTATAGGGAGAAGACTCCTCCACCCGCCTCTTTGCCTTTTTTTCACTTAGAACGTCGCGAGATCTTCACCCAAGCTGTACGATTGGTTGAAAGACGCAAAGTGAGAGTTACGCCCACTGTTTCCTCGGTACTGATTGGACTTTTAGAGGGGAACGGATCGAACGTCAACGAGTTCCGCGAATGCCCATTGGTAGATGATGCGGCCCTGTTAGCGCGCGGGAGCCGGCGCGGGCATTCGAACCCGTGGTTGGCGGCGTTACCATGGCGATGCGGCCTGGCCGGTGCAGCAAAAGCTGGTGAGTTGACAGCACGCCTGCCAGCTTTGGGGCTCTCTCCGGTCGGCGTTGCCTTCTGTCCTCAGACTGGGTTGACGGAGGGGGAACTTGGAAGCCTCTGAGGTGAGAAGTGGCGGGGGACAACCGGGGAGGAGAGGGGTAGGCCTCTGCCCCGCGGGAGATGGCAATCAGGACGCCCGCTGAGCGCGTGAGGAGGCGGCGGTTGCAAGGAAACCGGGAGTTGGCCTGTCTTGGTTGTTCGAACGCTCACCTGCTCTCCTCGTCATCCCAATATCTCCGCCTTTTTTATTTTTTTCTTTTTTCCCTGTGACTATCTCGAGCGCTACTTCTCCCATGAAGCCTTCTCTGACTCTTGAAATCTTCGTGCCTTTGAACCTGTAGCCCTAACTGGAACCTTTCTTAGAAAGCACTTCTTTTAGGCCTTGGATTATTTGTGTACTTCCGTGAACCTGATTCTCCTTCCTTTCATTTGGTTTAGAGGTCTTTGAGGCAGAGAAAGAAGAAAACAGTAGGGTTTTCAGGAATTATTTGTTGAATTTAATTCACCACAAAAGGATTGGATTCCCTTCTATGCCCTGTCCTGTTTTCCCTCGTGTTTGGAGGTTATTTTCTATTTTTACGGGAGTAGAGCGAGGGCACCCTAATTCATATTCAGAAAAACCTGAAAGTCCATGGTTGGCTTTTCCACTGTTTGTGAAAGGAAACTTTTTTTTTCTTTTTGAATGCTTGCTGCAACTCTTTTGGCATTGTGGCTTTTAGTCTTGTTCTCCCAATACTTTTATTAAACTCCTTGTGAGTATTTGCTTAAAACAAATTACTGTATGCCAAGAATGTCTCAGTTTCTTGGTGACATACAACTATTGTCACATATTAAGAGTGCTTAGGAAACTGTTTTAAACCATTTTCTCCTTTGTATTTTACTTGCAATCTCTCTGCTTCAAGTGCATGTAACAGCTGCTCTTGTAGCCATTCAGTCATCAGGTGGCCATGATAGAATTGCATTACCAAGACTGTTGTGGAGTTTGGGGCTAATGAAAGAGGAGTTTGAAAACGAATCAGATGTTGGAGAGCCAGGTTAAATAGCTTTAACCTTACCTGTTAAAGGCACTGAAGATCGCTGAATGTTAAAAACGACAACAACAACAACAAAAAGACTGTTGTTTGGGGCACCTGGGTGGCTCAGTCAGTTAAGCATTTGACTCTTGGTTTCTGCCCAGGTCGTGACCTTTCATTTTGTGGGACTGAGTCCTGCATCAGTGCTGTACTGACAGCATGGAGCCTGCTTGGGGTTCTCTTTCTCCCTTTCTCTGTCCTTCCCCTGCTTACACACACACTCTCTCAAAATAATAGGTTAAAAAAAAAAAAAAAAGACTGCTGTTATGTCAATTCATAAAACTAGAATATTGCCAATCCGGATTGTTGATGATTCTCATGTCCAAATCATAGCTCAGTGATGGTTTTAATAAAAAGATTGAAAAAGTCCGGTACAGTAGCAGTGCTATTATTATTCTCTTATAAAAGTTTGAACACAACTGTATAGCTAAATAGCAGATCTGTGACATGTTAATGGAAACCGAATTGGGGATTCAGGGTTTGGCCTTGGCTCTGTCTCTGCTTACTTACTGTGGCTGGCTTTATATTTAGCCCTTTTAGATTTCACTTTTTCCATGTAGAAAATCAGAGTGTTGAATTAGAATTCCTGTGGCTCTACTATCAATTTAGTCAAGCAGCTGATTGTTTTTTTAGTTCCAGTATAGTTAACATTCGTTCTCTATAGTTAAGAATCTGTTTTTTGGTTTGTCTCTTTTTTTCCTTTGTTCATTTGTTTTGTTTCTTAAATTCCACATATGGACAAAGTCATATGGTATTTATCTTTCTCTGATTGACTTATTTCACTTAGCATTTTACCTCTGGATCCATCCATGTTGCTGCAGATGGCAAGATTTCATTCTTTTTTAAAATTCTTTATCAGTTCTAGTAGGTTTTTTTTTTTTTTTTTTAAATATCTTAATGTTTGTTTATTTTTGTGTGTGAGAAAGAGAGCATGAGCAGGGAAGGGACACAGAGAGAGGGAGACACGGAATCTGAAGCAGGCTCCAGGCTCTGAGCTGTCAGCACAGAGCCTGATGCAGGACTCTAACTTGTACTGCTAGATTATGACCTGAGCCAAAGTTGGATGCTTAACCGACTGAGCCATCCAGGTGCCCCAAGCAACTGGTTATTGATATCAGGTAAACATCACATGTTCAGCCTTCCAAGAACTATACTGCTGAAACTGATAGCTGCCATTTATTGAGCATTTAAAGCACTATATCAAAGGCTTTATATAAATATTACATTTTTCTTACCATAGTACATCAGTGTACTGCCTACAGAGCATTTCGGTAAAAGTTTCTGGTTTATGTTGTTAATATAAATCTTTAGGTGTGGTATGTCCTAGTGCAATAGTCCTTGGGGCAAACTAGGGCATGATCCTCTCATCTTCCAGTTTAGGAGAAATAGTTTATTTGGGCTGTCATTTTATTCTTTGTAAAGTAAGAGATTGAAGTCTTCTCAGTCCCTTACAGATTAATTCATCAATTAAACCAGTTTTTTTGGTTTTTTTTTTATTTTATTTTTTTAATGTTTTATTTATTTCTAGGAGAGAGAGAGAGAGACAGCGTGAGCAGGGGAGGGTCAGAGACAGAGGCAGTGACAGACTCTGAAACAGGCTCCAGGCTCTGAGCTGGCAGTAAGCACAGAGCCCGACGCGGGGCTCGAATCCACAAACCGCGAGATCATGACCTAAGCGAAAGTCGGACCTTAACCGACTAAGTCACCCAGGCGCCCCACCAGTTTTTTGTACTGGCTTAGCAAACCTGTTTATAATTTGTACAGAGAAAATCCTCAACAATTTTTTTTTTTTTTTTTACAAATAAACAAATTTTGTTAAATGAGCAATAGAGTTCTACTTATACTATGAGTGTTGTAGTCACTGTATACTTCCGTAGTTAATGTCTCAATGATTTTGATGTTCATATCTTATTGAACAAAATACTTTTCCATAGGCATAAACTAATAACAATAGGTACGATTTATATTGGGAAAATTCCATTTTCTACCTATATGTCTTTTCCGGTGTACGAAGGATCTCATTTCTTTCCCTCCTGTCTGTCTTCTTTACCACTCATATAGAAGACTTCACTTCTGACACTTCTAGCCAAATGCGTGGGGACTTTTCCCCCACCAAGCAGTTCTTTGTGACACCAGCTGGGTGTCCTATAATTTAACTCAATCTAGCTCTACCTATTTGGAGATAGTGTCTGATCCCACAAGTTAAGGGCTCAGTGTGACAAAACTGCTCACACCCCACTTCAGATGCCTACTGTAAGTAGTACATCCCAAGGTTACCCACAACTTCTGTCAGATTTGGCTACAAATTGGAAGTTCCCATGACCCCTCCATAGACTCAATTAACTTGCTAGAGTGGCTCAGAGAACTGAGGGAAACACTTAAGTTTACAGGTTGGGGGTGCGTGGGTGGCTCAGTGGGCTAAGCATCCAACTCTTGATTTCCACTCAGGTCATGATCTCATGGTTTGTGGGGTTTGAGCCCCATATCAGGGTCTGCACTGATAGTGTGGAGCTTGCTTGGGATTCTCTCTCTCCCTCAAAATAAATAAAAATAAACTTTAAAAAAAGTTTACCAGTTAATTAAAAGTTATGATAAAGGATGTAGATGAACAGCCAGAAGAAGAGATACATAGGGCAAGGTCTGGGAGGGTCCTGAGCATAGGAGCTTCTGTGCCTGTGGAGTTGGGATGTGTCACTCTCCTGGTGTGAATGTGTTCACCAACCTGGAAACTCTCTGAACTCCATACTTTTGGTATATTTACGAAAACTTTGTCAAGCTTATGGCTTGATCTTTTTGGTGGTCAAACCCCACCCACCGTTACCTCCTCAGAACAAAAGATACTCCAAGTGCTCTTATCATTTAGGAACTTACCAGAGTCCTAGGAGCTCTGTGCCAGGAACCATGGGCAGAGACCAATATATATTTTATATTATCTTACACCATTTTATTGTTGGCTACCTATGTATTAGACACTGTAGCATTTTATTTACATTATCCCAATTCTTACATAACTAACATCTTTCCCAAGTCACTATTATTTTTTTTTTGCCTATTCAACAGTAGGCAGCTTTCCTTCCATTTTTGCCCATCCCTACAATCCATTTCCCACAGAATTGGCAGAGTGATCTCTAAAGATCTTGTCTTTTCCTCTCTTAAAACCCTTCAGTGACTTCCTGTTTCATTTTAAATTAAAATCCAGACTGCTTGGTCCAATAGACCCTCATAATCTGGTCCCTACCTTTCTCCTACTATTCTTGTCACCAACTCAGCTAGAGCCAAACTGGTGTTCTCTTGATTGCTTGATCATGCCATGCTCATGTCCACTTAAGGCCAACGTACACACCTGGAATGCTCTTCCTCATGATCTTTACATGAATGATTCCTTTGTAGTAGTTCAGATTTCATCTCAAATGTTCCCTTCTGAGTGAGGTCTTCTGTAATGATCCAATGAAACCTCACCTAGAGTCTTTTTTGCCTAAATACTGTACAGTATTATTAAATGGTACTTCTAGAATTCCAGTGTAATTTTAGTTGCAGAAAAATCATGCAGGGATCATTATCAATATGTTTCCATGATTAAGCATCTGAACTACTTGTCAATAACCAAACTC